TTATCTCTTTTGGGTTCTTTTCCAGGGGTTGGATGCCCCTACGCCTTAAAGATGCTTGTCTTCTGATCATCAGTGAATTGAGGACTAGGAGAGGCTGTATGGTGTTTAATCGAATCTTCAAATGCAAGTCTGTATGCTACATTATGTTAGGCACAGAACTTGAACCTTAAGTCCAAATACATAGTTATTTTGTACTTTGGTCCAACAGGGCTGCCAGAGAGTGGTGGGAAGGGAGACAGCCTATCACAGATTTGACTTCTAGAAAAAATGTCAACCTTTCTGGGCAGCATTTTGTTGGCACCTTTCTCCCAAACTTGATGATCACTTCCTGTTCGTGGTGACAAGCCTTGCTTATTCAATCCTATAAATATAGGATCATGATGTTAAAACCATAAACCAGTGGCCTTTTAAGAAGAAAGACTTCTTCCTCTATGAATCCTCCTAGTAGGAGCACAGGGAGCCCAAGGCAGTATCTCTCATTCCCTTGGATCCATCTGTCTCACAAACCTCACAAAATGTGTGCAAGCTTTTGCACTCCTGTGGGTCTGCTCATGTGATGCAGAGACTGTCAAAAGCAACCCTTTTGGTTCAGGAGCTTGAGGAAGTAGAAGAGCACAGAGACCCGTCTGGAGGAAACCTGGTAGATAGTGTCATCCTGGTGCAGGACAGACATCTGGTAAAGCAATGGGGGTGGAAGAGGCATATTGGGGGTTTAATTTAAAGAAAATGAATTCCATTACCTCAAACTGCCTCCCATTCTGAGACAACTGGAGTCCAAAAGACCTTCCTACAATATCAGAGAAGTTCCAACACAGCAGACTAAGCCGACTCCAAAGGCTTACTCTTTGTTAATTAACACAGCAATTACCTGAACAAAAGTAACGAAATTTTAAAAATTAAAAAATATACAGCCAAGGTTGGAAGAAGAAGGGAGGGCAGAAGGGAAAACAAATCAAAGAAGAAAGATGTCTTAGGTTCCAGAAGCTAAGAAGGATCCTAAAGCCAAATCATCAAACAAGAGCTGAGGCCAAAAACATAAGGAAGTCTGGGTAGGAATATTGGTGTTAGAGGCTAGGCTCACACAGTTTCAACATCCGTGACAAGATCTGGCATTGGGCAGGACCATAGAGCTCATTTTGAGTACCCTGCAAAAATGTTGAAAGCTGAGACTGAATATTTACTTAATTTGTGAAAATAATATAAAGCAAATTCTGCCCAACATCCCAAGAAGTTTCAAGAAAACCTTCCATCAGCTCACTAAGCTTTGTGCAAGTGTACCATCCGAATTCATAATTACATGTAAAATAGGGGAACCTCAAATAAAGGGATTAAGTTAAAAACTGCTATAAGATATGTGAAACTTCTAAGGTTCTCGCAGAATCAAATCTAAAACTACTATCTAAGGAGATGTCCATAAACCTAACTTATAAAATGCCTCCCTATCAAAGAACCCTACCGCTACCACCATCTACACACAGCAGTTATCTAATAACCAAAATACTATGAGAAACATAACACCACCATGAAAAAATGAGAAGCGGCAGCAAATGGGGAAACATGAAAGTCGGAAGCTCAAGAACTGTAGATAATAATTTGAAAAAGGCCATTATGAAAATACATTTTAAATCATTAAAAATGTTTAAAAAGTAATAGAAACCAGACCAGGTGCGGTCGCTCACACCTGTAATCCCAGCACATTGGGAGGCTGAGGCGGGCGGATCACCTGAGGTCAGGAGTTTGAGACCAGCCTGGCCAACATGGTGAAACCCCGTCTCTACTAAAAATACAAAAATTAGCCAGGGATGGTGGTGCAAGCCTGTAATCCCAGCTACTTGGGAGGCTGAGGCAGGGGAATCGCTTGAACTGGGGAGGCACAGGTTGCAGTGAGCCAAGATCGCACCATTGCACTCTAGACTGGGTGACAGAATGAGACCCTGTCTTAAAAAAAAAAAAAAAAAAAAAAAAGTAATAGAAACCAAAATGGAAAAAAAGAACAGTAAAGGGAAAAAAAGATATATGCATTTGAGAAAAAAATGAAATCACATAATTGGAAATGAAAATTGTCTTTGAAATTAAAAACTGAGCAGATCAGTTAAACAGCAGGTTTAATATATTCAAGGAAACAAAGAGTGAAGTGGAATTTAGATTTGATGAAATCACACAGAACACAACACATTATGTGTGTTTGGAAAAGACGGATGAAAGCCTAAAAGGCATGTGGATGCAGGGAAGTGGAGAGGTTCAATACACACCTGATATGAGTCCCAGTAAGAGATTATAAAAGAAAGAGCATATGCAAAAGCAAATAACTAGAAATCTTTTAGAATTTAATAAAACCATGAGATTTCAGATTGAAGAAATGCACTGAGACCACTGCAGGATACACAGAATCAAATACACACCTAGAAATATCATCGTGACAATAAAAAGCGCCATAGTCAAAAAGAAAATAATAAAAGCACCAGAGGTAAGTGGCAGATTACTCTCATCTGTCATTAGGTGGGATACCAAAGTTCTGAGATGATGCAGTTGCTGCTTATTTCCCTTCATCTATTCAGAAATCTGAAAGGGAAAGTAGAAAAGAGGATTAAGCAATTTTGCCTGTCCCCTTTTCTCTGCATTGCTGTAGCCTTATCGCCCTGTCTCCTCTTAGTGAGGCATAACGGCTAGCTTGTGTTGGGTACCAGCCATTCATGTCCTGATTTGCAGGGTGTCCTAGTGGTGATGCTCGTCTTCACTGTGCTGGAGCTCTTATTAGCTGCATACAGTTCTGTCTTTTGGTGGAAACAGCTCTACTCCAATAACCCTGGGGTGAGTATGCTGACATGTCGCATGATACCTGCTCTGTCCCAGGTCCAGGCTACAATAATCCAGGCTCAAAAAGTGACAAAAAGAAGAATCAATTATTGTTCATAAGGTGCACATGGAAGGCCACTTTTATAATAAAAAAAAATGAGTTTGATAGTGAAACCCCGTCTCTACTAAAAATACAAAAAATTAGCTGGGCGTGGTGGCACATGCCTGTAGTCCCACCTACTTGGGAGGCTGAGGCAGAAGAATTGCTTGAACCCAGGAGGTGGAGGTTGCAGTGAGCTGAGATCCCACCACTGCACTGCAGTCTGGGTGACAGAGTGAGACTCAGCCTCAAAAACAAAAAAAAACCAAAACCAAAAAAAAAAAACAAAAAAAAAGGTTAAATAACTGGGCTCCTTCCTGAGGACACTCTAGTCATCTGGGATCAGTTGGTGTCTACTGGGAAGTAGACCAGTTAGAGAATTGCTTAATATGAGCTAATTGGCTTTAGAAATCACATAGCCCAACCCCTCATGAAAGAACCAAGGCTTGGATAAAATTACATAGAAAATGAATGATACAGACTATTGGGCTGAAAATGAGAATGCGTATCCCCTCACTTTTATCATGAACACAGCCACCTGCCTCCCGAGAGTCTCCCTAGCCAAGTTTCCTTGTTAATGTAATGAGACTTTACTAGAACGTCTCTGTCTTGTTTATGCTTCCTTGTGCTCTTCCTTACATCCCCTTAGCTCTTGATGTTACAATTTTAAAATATTTTCATTTCCCCTAAAGGCTACAACAACAAAAAAAGAAGTACTTATAGAATTTGGATGAAGTATAATTTAACTATGATCCTATTTAAACGTAGTAAAATAATTAGCAGACTGGAGAACAGCATTATTTTTAACTAATATTGCTGCAATTCCATATTATGGCAAAGTTAGAAGAACTAGTACTACACAAAACTTGGGGAAAATGTATTATGAGTTATTTTTTTTAGTCTCCAAAATCAAAAGTTTAAAAATTCTAACCAATTATATATTTTCTAGAGTTCCTTTTCCTTGACCCAGTCACAAGATCATATCCAACAGGTCAAAAAGAGTTCTTCACGGTCTTGGATATAAGTAACTCTTGGCCTCCGAGGAAGGAAAAGCAACCCAACGCTCATGGTCAAGTGTGATTAGACTTTCCTGAAATCTCAGCCATTTTAGATACCGTGAAATAAACTTAAAAAAAAAAAACAAACTTTTGTTTAGTGTTTGTTTACTATGATTCATCATTTACATGAGTCGTTTACTACGACTCATTTACTATGAGTTGTAATTTCTCTTGAAAATAATTTCCTCAAAGCCCAAGCCAGTAAAATGTTATTAGCCAGTCTTCCAAAATGGTCATCAACTTTATAAACTGCTTTGGGTAAACTGAGCAGAAGGTGATCTAAAGAAGGGAAAATGTGCACTCATACTAGCATGAATTTGGTAAGTTGTGTGACTCTGCAGGCTGTTTCTGTATTATTTTCGCACTCCTATTGCTTAAATATTACATATTAGGGATTGTAAGAACACTTTAATTAAAAATGAAAGACTATTTGTAATTAAACTACTCTGCTCTGGCCACTCTCTGAGAAACAGATCTGCTGGGCCCTTTTTCATGAGCCATTAGGTGGAAGGCAGCAAAGATCTTCTCAAGTGCTCAGGGTTACCTCTGAACACACAGCAAGCATGTCCCTGCCTCCCATGAATCGTACCATGTAAACCCAAATCTCTGCAAACCTGTGGCATCAACCAGTGGTGCTCACTTTATTGTTTTAAAACGGCCTTCTTGGCCTGGCACAGTGGCTCATGCCTGTAATCCCAGCACTTTGGGAGGCCGAGGTGGGCAGATCACCTGAGGTCAGGGGTTCGAGACCAGCCTGGTCAACAAGGTGAAACCCCGTCTCTATTAAAAATACAAAAAATTAGCCAGGCATGGTGGTGCGTGCCTGTAGTTCCAGCTACCTGAGAGGCTGAGGCAGAACAATCACTTGAACCCGGGAGGCAGAGGTTGCAGTGAGCAGAGACTGCACCATTGCACTCCAGCCTGGCCTACAAGAACAAAACTCCATCTCAAAATAAATAAAATAAATACATAAAAATAAAAATGGACTATATATAGTCTTTTATTTCATTTATTTTAAATAAATAAATAAAATAAATATTTAGTCGGCACATAAACTATGTTCTTTTCTATTATTTCCGGGAAGGAGTCAATGAAGGCATCTTAGTCTTCTTAACAAGTTACAGATAATCTGTCTCTGAGCGGCATGTTTTCTGTTTCTAACTTGGAGCCAAATAGTGCTCACACTGAAAACAATAATGTCTGTTTGTTTGTTTGGGCATTACCTCTATTTTGATCTATAGCACAGTTTTGTAATTCAGATCATCACCCCTGCACTTTGCACCACATGGGCATATTCTGTCTTCCCAGTCATTGCCGCAATTATCTTGTCTGTTCTTTGTGTAATATGTTCTATGTGGGCCACTGCATTAAACTCAATTTCTTGGGCAATTACGGAAATTCCAGTGTGGCTGCAGTTTAACTTTGCATTCTCTATGCATATGAGGTTTCCTAAATAAACTTGAAGAGTAGCATAGTTTAAAATATATATATCTTATAACTTTCTACAACAAAGAATTATTGAGTCCAAAGGCCATCAGTGCTCATTTTGAGACACCCTGCTATCCATGGTCCCTACAAACCAGGAAATAAGTTATTATGTGTATACATTGGTTTTAGTTTTATGAAACAATTTGCCTTCATGATCTCATAGTTAAAACTGTAACAAATTTAGGAATAAAAAGGATCAATATGGGAAGCAAAATTTCTAAAGGCAGTTTCTGTTGTTTTAATTAGTATTTGTGTAGTTCAAACCAGGAAGGATTTGACTATCATTAGTTTTACTTAACTTTATGAAAGCTAAAATATTATCTATTATAAAGGGGCAATTCCATCTGGTCCTATAGCATCTTTACTACTGATTTTTTTAAATTTGAAAATGCAAAGAATTGTTCAATGTTCTTAAATGTTCTCACTATAGAAAAACAAAAAAGATAACTATGTGAGATGACGGATATGTTAATTAGCTGGATTGTGGTAATCATTTTGGAATGTCGATGTATATCAAAACATGTAGCACACCCTAAATATATATAATTATTGTCAAATATACCTCAATAAAGATGGAAAAAAATTGAGATTCAAAGTTAACTACTGATTTTTATAATACAGAGGAATATGGTTAAACAGTAAGTGAGAAAATTCATCAAGTAAAAGTGAGAAACTCCTTTGGAAGGAGGGCAGAAGCACAGTTGAGTTTAAAAAACATAGATTTTGGAGACAGGGCAAGTTGAGTTTACCCCTTCCCCCGTCCCGTATGCCTTTGGGTGACATAACCTTGCTGTTCCTCAGTCTCAGCATTGTAGAACTGTTAAGAGAATAAATGTGAGTGCATGTCAACACAAACAAAACACCTTCTACACAGTTCCTGGAACATAAGAAATATTCCATAAGTTTTAGTTCCTTTATAACTCATGAACATATGTGTAAGGACTTGTTTTGTATATACCATCTATTCTGTGTTTACCATGTGTTTGTAAGCAAATTGACAAGAGAGGAGGTCTTCTGGATACAGTACTTTTCACCAGGAAGATGGGGGGCTGGGCATGCTCTAGAATTCTAAAACTCTGTGACTCAACTGTGATTCTGAGGTTCTACTACTGAGTAGAGTCATCACTAAGGGCTCATCTCTAAAGGCTCCATGTGACTCTGGTGGAGAGGTAGGCCATGATCTGGGCAGCAATGTTTGCTCACTCTTTCTCTTACTAGAGTTCTGCCATTGAATCATGGAGTCACCATCCCAGGAAAAAAGTCCAACTCACGTCATCACTATAAAACCAAATGAAACTGTATGGACTGCATTTCCCTACAGACCTCATAGCTCTCTGCTGGATTTTCTGAAGGGAGAGCCAAGAGTCTTGGGGGTAAGTCCTCTCCAATCAATAGATCCTCCCAAAGGGGAGGAAAGAAGCTCATTTATTCATGTATGTCTGCAGAGATACCTCTGTGCTATTATTTTCAGGGAGGGAGTTAATTCTACTTTTCCCCCTTCACGTTTCATGAGAAATTAGTACTGATCTTTGAATCTCAGCAGAGGGGGAAGCAAGAAACTAGTATAACTTTTTAAAATATCTCATTGAGGAAGTGACTTCAGGGTGTGGTGGAACCTCCCTTGAAGCTAAGAAACCTTAAGTGCAGAGGTTTGACTTCCCCTTCGTGCTCTTAAAGGAACTGGGAGTGCTTCAAAATCCATATTCAAAGCTCCACAGTGAACCAAATGATAAGGCATACAAAACGTTTTTCATCACAAATGCACCCAGGGGAGAGCTGTATGCACAGCCTCCATCCTTTGTACAAACAGCAAAAATCATTACTTGGGGTGCCATAGCCCAGAGATGTGGCCTGAGGACAAAATCTAGACTGCTAGAGAAGTTGCGCCCTGAGAACCACTGCTGCTATTCTTTTCCCTGCAGACTCCTGCAAGCTGATGGGCCCACTGGGCTATTCTCCTCCCTAGTTGGGTCCTTGGATGAACGGAAGGTGAAATGCAAGCTCATCCCAGGTTCTCCACTCATCAAACTTTTAAAACTTCTAGACAACTGGGATGAGCCCCAATTCCAAAAGCCTATACTGAATGCTGGAAAATGCGGGGATGGGGGCTGTTAGGATAATAATAGGAAACAGGTGAGATAGAAGAAAAAAAAAATGTAAAGGTGAATAGTTTGTAGTCCCTGTGTTCACGAAGCTTATAATCTGGGGGTAGTCAGACACGTACTCAAATCTGTCTGATATAAGATTAATTGGTAAAACCAGGGAGGAGAGAAAATAATAAAGAATAAAAGTGAAGGATTTGAAGTTGAAGGATCCAGGCAAGCAAAGTGGGAAGGAAACACATTGAACTGAGTCTCTTAACAATCTGAGAATGATTGACAAATGAGAGAGGAAGGCATTTGGATGGAGGGAAAAGTGTGCCATGGAGGCACACCCTGAGGGACCTGGGGTAGCCCACAGAGGCTTGGATACTTGTAACCTCATGTACCCATTTCTCTCCTCACAGGCTACCCAGATCCTGCTTGCTCTAATCATTGTGGGCCTTGGAACTATGTTTGTACTTAATTACATCCGTTTCTCCCAAAGATTTCCCCTTGTTGTCCTCACGGGATATCCATTTTGGGGAGCACTTATTGTGAGTACTTTAGAAGCTTTGGAGACATTGCTATAAAGATAGATTTGAACTGCTTCACGTGCTAGGGTAATGAATTCCATAGATCCGGCCCTCCAGGAGACCAAAAAAGGCAGTTCCCTTCATGGCAAAAGCAGCAACTCCATTTGGTCACTGCACTACCATCATCATTGTAATAACTACTCTCAGCTGCTTGAAAGTTTCCAAAGCCCGTGTGTATAGTAAGACATCACAAATATCCTACTTTCGCCTTTGCAAATAAGGAAACTGAGCTCAAAAGTAGAGAATAACTAAACATATCTAGCTAGCACTCATGAAATCACAGACTCTGAAAGCTTTAACAGAATTTTAGGATTATCATCGTTCATCCTCCTTCTTAGCCCCAGAGACAATTTTATGAGTGGCACTCATCTAGATAATCGTATAGCCATAAATATTATTCTTAGTACAGTGCTATTTCTATCCATTCCCCACAGCCTGGATTCCTAATTTTGTGCCATAATAGTTAAGGACAGACTCATTAGAGCTTCTCCTACTGTAACATACACTCCTGAGAAGACAGCAGTATTACCGTCTGTTTTAGTTGTTGTATTCTGAGAATCTAGAATCATGCTTGAGGCATAGTGTGCACAAACGAATGAATGAATCAATGAACAAATAGGTAAAATAATGAATAAATTAGGCCACTATCTCTGACTATTAAAAATCCATAGTCTCTTTTGATAAACAGAAATATTCCATGCCTTTTCTATAATGTGCATTTCAGAAACAACCAGCAGTGTTTTCATTTTCCCAATATACATAATGTAATATTCAATATGATTTTCAAACTGTACATGCAATACTGTAGAAAATCAAACAGATCAACCCCTCACTTTCTCATTTCACAACAGAATTGTCCCAGGGTGATTGTGTGTAATCTGCATGTGTGAGTTAAAATGAGGTTCTGGCCTGCTGCTTTTGAAAACTCTACTTTTCACTTAAAGGATATTTACTGAGCACATACCGTGTCTTCGATAGCATCCTAGGTGCTGAGACTGGGAATACTGGAAAACAGCTCCTCTCTGAGAGAAGTGGTGAATTGTTCTTAGATTTAGACAGTTTGTCATCTAACTGGGAGAGACTAAACATGAAAAAGTCAAAAGTAACCCCAAATATTTGTTCCTACATTTGTGTCAAGTACTCTAAGAGAAGAGTTCCAGGTGCCATGTGAGGGTTTAATAGAGGACTCACCTGACCACGGAGGTCAGGGAAGTGCTTTCTGCATAGCTGCTCACTAGGCAAAGTGGGAGAAAAGCATCCCTGGCAAAGATAAAGCATGAGCCAAGGGCTTGATGTGGGAAAGAGTAACCAAAAGAAGACCAATGAATTTATTGTGATGGCACAAAATGAGGCTATAAAGGTAGGGTGTAACCAGGTGGTGCCAACCCGTCAGTCATGTTAAGAACATGGAACTTCAATGTGAAAGTATGGGAAATCCACTGAAAATTTTTAAAAAGGATAGAGACATTTGAAGACTTGTTGAAGTATCATTGTGTTTCTCGAGTGAGAAATTAATTCAATTATAACAGTAAACTTAGGAGAATCCAATGAGAGGAGGTTGCAATCACGTGGATGAGGGATGAGGAAGGAGTTTCCCTGAACTAGTTTGGTGGCAATGGAGCTAGAGATGGAAAGCCTTGAGAGTGACTTGGAGGTAGAAGTGACAGGACTTGGCAATCCAATGTGGGGAGTGAAGTGGAGGGAGGTATCAAAGGTACCTTTCTGATCTCCACAAGTCAGCTGCAGATCCTTGGACTCTAAGACCCAGATGTCCCCAAGGTCCAAGTCAGTTCCCACAGGGAAAGTTCCCATTCCCAGAACATTAAAAAAGTAAGGGGCTCCACATGGAGTGACAGAGTTCTCATTTTCCTGAGGTGGCACTAGGTTCTACACTCATGGGAAATGAGGGACTCTGATAACTACACTAGGTATCAGTCCCCGTATCAGCCTTTAGAGGCGTCTTCCTTGAGAAAGTCTCCCTTCACCTGCACAGAACAGGCACAGTTCCTCTTCTTCTCTTCAAGACCCAGAGCTCAGGAATCTTTTTTTGGAGCCCCAGTTGGACCAAACATCTGGGTGGTGTCCTCTGGATCTTAGAGGAGCCTGCTTGTCCCAGCTGACCCTGGCAGAGAGTGCTTGTTCAGTGCTGAGTGAATTCAGCCGAGTTTCTTCCTACCCTACCTATGCCTACCTTCCCTACTCCCTGATGCTCAGGTGGAAAAATTGGATGGTCTTGGAGATTCACAAACAGATATTTTGTGAATCCAAGAGAAATTATATTGCAAGGTGGTCAAACACATCACCTGTTAACTTTTGTCTCTTGTCTTCTTAACAGTTTATTCTTACAGGATATTACACAGTAACCGATACGAAGTCAAAAATTCTGGTAAGTCACTTAAACTACATAAACTTTAAAATCTTCTATTGTTTTCTATCATCTTTATGTATAAAGCCTTTAGTAAAAACTGTCAGGAAAATCTGTACATGTGAAAGTTGCAGTTCAGATCATCCCTATTTGCCAGTGCCACTCTTTGCCCCACAGACATTCTTACACTGGTTCCCATTTCCCTGGTCAAGTAAACTAAAAGAGTTATTGGAAACCATTCTGCACCCCTGTAATTCATTGTTTGTAATTAGGGGTAATTCCCTGCCCTGCACTCCCAGGACCCGGAAATATTGGACAACTTCTGAAGACATTTTTGGTCATTATAATTGGTGTTATTGGCAACAAGTGAGTAGAGGCCAGGGACATTTCTAAGCATCTAAAATGCACAGGGCAGCCTCCCCACAACACAAAAATTAGACAATGAAAAATGTTTATAGTACCAAAGTTGAGAAACCTTGCTCTAACCAAACTCAATCCTGAGATCTCAGTAATTCTTCCTCCTAATCCTAGCCCTATCTCCAATACCAACCGAGGCATTTCTTTAGAGCCTGTCCAAGGTCTGGAAAAAAGAGTTTGGGCATCGATGCTGGATTGTTCTAGGATTGAACCAAGGCTACCACTCACTTCTGTGTTAACCTGAAGGGAAAAGTACCTACTTCCAAGGGTTATTTTGAGGGTTCAATGAGACATTACTTATAAAAGGCATGATGATGCTTAAATGTTCATCCTCCTTTCTAACCACTCTGATCTCGTTTAAGGTCCTGGGGATGTGGGCCTCTCTGAAAGTCGGTTTAACTCGGTTCTTATGGTCCTCTGCCAGTTTCCTCTAGGGATAGTTACAAGCCATAGAGACATTCTGAGGGGAGGGGGAATAAATGTTTCCACCCCTGCTTATGGAAACACATGCAGACAATGCGGATGAAGCCCCAAATGGTGTTCTCCCTGTATTGACTTCCTTCCAGAGCTGAGAAATAGACTATGGGTAAAGAAAACCTACTCCTGACTCACTGAGAGCTGTGCAGATGGAGATGGGCAGGAATGATGGGGGCAGGATGCTGATCCAGGCATCAGAAGACCTGACTTTTCATTACAGCCCGTTCACAAACCGTGAAAGTGATTGCTCAGTCACTTACTTCCTGAAGTCCATTTATCTGTAAAATGGGGATAACAACAAGTGTCCTTCCTACATCACAAAAGTATAAATGAGAATCAGAAGAGAATAGGCTGGACATGTTCTTTGTAATGCCCAATACACACGAGGAATTGATTATCTAGAGATCTTACTCTATAAAATGTCCTATGGGAGCCAAAATAGAGCCTTGAGAAAACAAGGGGACTAAAGACCAAGAGAGAGATGGCCTATCTATATGTTCCTGTGCATTTTTCTGCCAAAGTGCCTATTTGCAATTAAAGACCTGGGACTGAGGTAAATATTAAGTCACAAGTACACTTTTGAGGTTTGCCACATCAAGCCACAAACTGTTCCAGAAAAGACTGGCTGTGTAAATGCATCATTGTATTTTCCACCACAGTAGTCATAAGACAATCAATGAAGGTACAGCAAATACCTGATGAATGGAAAGGGGAAGCTTTTCTTTATTTTTCCTTTAAAAGAGTGATATCAGTCCTGGGAGTGGGTAGGAAGGAACAAATCGAATGATCCCTTTCCTTTAAAGGAACTCAGATATACATACCCCACCCACCCGCCCCTCCCTCTCCCCCAAAAAGTAGGAATGAATAAAAGGAATTGGGTGGGGCAACGTGAAATATTCTTATTGGAACACTGAGTTCAAGAAAGAACACCTTTAAACTCCAGTCCAAATAGGTTAACATCTTTAAATGTTCATGATTCTGTTGATTATTGCTTGAATTCTCCCAGGGAATGACTGTAAACTGCGTGATTGCAGGATGTCACCTCTTTTGCTCATTTGTGTGTCTCCAGGGCCTAATGCAGTACTCACATGTATCTGGTGCACATTAAATATTTATGAAATAAATGAATAAATGGGTACTACCCTAAAAGGTGACACATTCACATTTTTAAAGGCAGAAATTGAGATTCCACGAGATTCGGTTGCTTGCATAAGGTCCCAATGAAACTTGGACTTGAAATGAGGTTTCATTTCCAAGCAAATATATTTGCTAACACATTGTACTGCTTCCAGATTATGAAAGATGGTGGGGATAAAACGAGATAAAATGGGATGAAATGAACATTTTCTTTAGCATTAGCCATAGAGCATCCTTGGCCCATTCTAAAACTTGGTTTGTCTTCTGACTTTAATGAGTCAGAATTTAGTTTATTAAGCCTTCCAATCATACTGACCTGATGGAACAACTCTTCCCTGAGAAGTATCTGGAAAGATAAAAGCATTAAGAATTTCTTACAAGGTATTTTTGCTTTGGTTTCGATTCTGTTTATTTTATTACTTTTTAATTATCTTTCAGGGTCAAGGTGTCACGAGCATGAATGTTATCAGTTCCTTGGTTGCGATAACTGGGATTACTTTAATCATTTTCAGCTATAGACATCAAGACAAGTACTGCCAGACGTCTTCTGCTGAAGAAATATGTGTTTTGGGTAGAACTCTTTTCATTGTAAGTGGTCTTATTTCGCATGATGAATCTCTAAACTCTTATGTGAACTGTGTCCGTGATGTAATGATTCATTGATTTTTATTTTATTAACTGAAGTTGTGTGAGCATTTGAACTGACGGTTGAGAAGGGTACTGTGGGGTTATTGTTGCAATGATTAAGGAGCGATATTTTCTGGACTTGAATCCTGTTCGCATAAGTTTGTCACCTTGGCCTAATATTGTATTCCCTCTAAGACTTGGTTTTCCTCAAGTGGAAAATGAACATAATAAGAATGCTTACCTCATGGGTTGTTGTGAGGATTGCTTAAATTAAAACAGTACCTTGCATGGTTAAATAGTTAATAGGTTTAGCTAATACAATTATTATGGACACAGATTGAATTAAATATTGCTGTTTCAGCATTAATGAACAAAATGATCTAAAAGTTTGCTAAATAACACTAAGATCAAAATACAGTGGGGGAAGGTATTTAGAAGTCGTTTAATAAAGTAAGGATTTTTATAAGCTTAAGACATACATTATTTCACATAATTGTAGCAATTTTATTCATTAAAGCAGATGAGAGATCTTTTACCAGGAAATGTAATTGTCTGTACAATTTAAAGTGTTTATCTAACAAGTAATCAATGACATTATTTTTAAGCATGTCAGTGACTCCAATAGGCCTTTCTCTCTAGTTCCCTAAGCAAGTCCTGGGGTTTTATTTTATTCCTATCAGCTATATCTTGAGGCTTGGGTTCTACAATTTGAAGACTATTTGAATCTGCTGAAGGGAAATAAAGTGGAATCACAGAAAATGGTCTTCCTCAGTAAATAAGAAATGAGAAGCTAGCTCCTGAATACAAGAGTTTATTTAATCCTCACAATCACTCAGTGAAATGGTCCTAGGGACCCTCTCATGTGTTCTGAGATAAATTCTAAAATTAGGCTTATGAGAGATTACTAAAGAAAGCCCTGTTCTAACTGGGCCAAGAACATGATACAACATTATAATTCTTGGCCACTGCCGAATGGACAGGAGCCTACTACTGTTTGTTATGTTGGTATATACAAGGAAGAACTTGTATATACAGAAAGGGTTAAACCTCCAGATATAGGAAATTCTGCTATTTCCTACTCTCCATGGATGGATATTGCAAGATTAGTTACCTGCATACAGAACCATGAACAATCTCTTCCTAGTTCTCACTTACATAACTTAACAATTTCTTGCTGTAACCCAAACATCATAAGCTAAAAGAGCCAAAACAGTGGGCTTTAGATGTCTCTTGGGCTGACCCCAGTCCTAAAGACCAATCTATTGTCTATACTGTGGCCAGAGTAATCATTTAAAAATGTAAATCTGAGCAATTACTTAATGGCTTCCTGTAAAACATCTGATGATTAAGACCCATATCTTAAGGGCCTTACCAAACCCTGTAACACCTATCCTACCCACCTTTCTGACATTATTCCAGGACTTCATTCTTCTCACTCCACACTCCGGCCACTTCCTAGAATCCCTTAATGTGTCAAGTATGCATGGCCCCAAGATGATCATAGGATCAGCTTCTTCCTGCTTTGAAGGGTCACCAGGCCAGTTATACAATTAACTCATCCTCATACTTAAATCTCAACTGAAATATCACTTCTTTAAGGAAGTTCTTCCTGACCACACCTCTACGCTCATATCTGCATAGATCCCCATTATAGTAGTGCATTGCTCACAATCCTTCTTCACAGCATTTATCACAATTTAGTTAAGTAAATAATTACCTAATTACTTCTTATTGTCTGCCTCTCTTACCATGATGTAAGTTCCACAAAATCCAAGACCAGGTATATCTTATTCAATGGAGAAAGTGAGTAAATTGCATACAATGGGGTCTTCATACATTTCAGTTTTACCAACACATATTGAATATCTAAGATTTTTGGCGTACTGCAGGGAAACCAAGATTCAGAAACACACTGGGTTCAAGCAATTCTCCTGCCTCGGCCTCTCAAGTAGCTGGGATCACAGGCATGCACCACCAGGTCCAGCTACTTTTGTATTTTTAGTAGAGACGGGGTTTCTCCATGTTTGTCAGGCTGGTCACGAACTCCCAACCTCAGTTAATCTGCCTGCCTTGGCCTCCCAAAGTGCTGGGATTACAGGCATGAGCCACCGCGACCGGCCCGACCTTGGATCCACTTTAACCCAGGTCTTTCTGTCCTCATAGTTTAAACTTTTGAGGCACCATAAGGTACCATGTTACTTCTCAATCTAAACATTACCTTAAAGCAAAATGGGCAAAATGGCAATCTGTGGGCTACATCCAGCCTGTATGTATGTTCTATCTGGTTCTTTAGGGAAAAACAAACAAAATAGGCATTATGGTATCCATGTTCCTACATGACAACAATTGGCTGGAATTCATGCCTCCTATGAATGCTATTACTCTCTACTCTCTGCTTGTTTAGTTCACAATGGTGGCCCAGCTCCCATGGACACTGGAGTTTGTTATCCCTGCCTTATCAGAAAGACATAAGATGAAACTTGTGCAATGTCTGAGGGCTACAGAACCATCCAAAATATGGTTTTCCCATACTTGGTGATACAGTGTAAGGGGTTCTCAGCTTACATATTTAACCGCTCTCATTTCAAATGCCATTTATTTCTCCTCATTATTTGCAGGGAATTTTGTCAGTCTTACTGATCATCAGCATAGCAGAGCTCAGCATCTCTGTGACTATTGCATCCTTTAGAAGCAAGTGCTGGACACAGTCAGATGAGGTATGTTCTGATGTCTCTTAATATTATTAAGAGAACAGGTTCCTGTTCCTGTTGGGATACTGCACACAATGATGTCTGGTTTATTAGCAGGAAGAGCAGCAAGCTCAGATGCTGAAGTAAAACATCTACATTTAGGAAGGTCAGAGAGGCGCAAGCTTAAGATTGAAGCTCACCCCACCCTCTGAAACAACTATGCTTTCCCTTCTTGTACTATCTGCTTTATACTCAGTCATCTTTGTTCAGACATAGCTCTTTATGTCCCTGCCAAAAATATGTAATATCAGATTTAATGGGATCCCAAGTTACTGTGACATGGGGTGTGTATTCTTGGATCATAAGATGTATGACACAGTTCCACCACCAGAAAAGAGGTAGGGAAAAAAACTATTAATACTGATACTACATAGTATTTACAATAATTGTTATAGTTTATATTTATAGAATTCTGACTATGTCAGTCACTGTTTTAATCACTGAGCACTAACTTAATCTTAACAAAACTATAACATCCTTATTTTACATATGAAGGAAGTAAGGTACAAAGAGGCTGAATAACCTCTCCAGTATCACATAACATCAGGATTCTGACCCTCGTGGTGTGTCTCCAGAGCCTGCCTGCTAAGTCCCAAATACCAGTACAGGCCTTGTGATTCGTGGAGTTTTCATTTCTCTCTTTTTGTTTACATCAACTTTATAGAAGTATCATTTATAAACAACAAAATGTACCTATGTTGAGCTACCATCACAATCAAGGTATAGTGCATTCCTATCATCCCAAAAGGTTCACTGAACCCCTTTGCAGTCAATGTCCTCATCACCTAGATGGGTTTTGACTTTCCAAAATTTCATACTCATGGAATCATAAGTAAGTACTCTCTGTATATGGCTTCTATGGCTTCTTCCACACAGAAATATGTTTTTGAGAGTCATCCATGGTGTTGCCTCTATCAAGAATCCATTCCCTTTATGTATGGGTACATCACAATTTGTTTATCAACTTCCCTTTGTTTTTTGAGTCAAGATCTCACTCTATCACCCAGGCTGGAATGCAGTGGCACTATCTCGGCTCACTGCAGCCTCAAGCTCCTGGACTCAAGCAACGCTTCCATCTCAGCCTCCCAAATAGCTGGGACTGCAGGCATGCGCCACCACCCCCAGCTAAATTTTTTTTTTTTTGTATTTTCTTGTAGAAATAGGGTTTTGTCATGTTGCCCAGGCTGGTCTCAAACTCCTTGGCTCAAGTGATACACCCACCATGACCTTCCAAAGTTCCGGGATTACAGGTGTGTGGCACTGGTCCCAGTCCATTTACCTTTTGATGGGTATTTAGATTGTTTAAACTTCTGAACTATTATCATTAAGTTACTGAGAATATTTGAGTTCATACGTTTATGTGGACATATTTTCATTTCTCCTGGAGTGTTGCATCTAGGATTTGATTGCGAGATCGTATGGTAACCAGATGTTTCACTTTATAAGAAAATATCAAACAGTTCGTCAAAGTGGCTGTATTGCTTTCCATTCTCACCAACAATATGTGAGAGGGACAGTTGCTCCATGTCATCACGAACACTTGAAACTGTCAGTTTTATCAATAATGTAGTTATTTTAGTGCGTATGTAGTGGCACCTCATTGTAGTTTTAATTTACATTTCCCTGATGACTAAGGATGATGAGACTCTTGCTATATGTTTATTATCCATTTGTGTATCCTCTTTTGAGATGTCTGTTCAAATATTTAGCTGCATTTTATTGGAATATCTTCTTCTTACTGGCCTTATAGCAGCCTAATTAATTCTTAATACAAATCCCTTACAAATATTTGTTTCACTCTGTGATTTGCCTTTTCATTTCAATAGCTTCTTTCAAAAAACTAAATTTGATGAAGTTCCATTTATCATTTTTGCTTTTATGGTTATGGGTTTTTTTGTGTGTTGTTTAACAAAGTTTTCCCTACCCCCAAGTCATGAAGGTTTTCTTCTATCTTTTCCTACAGAAGTTTTATCATTTTAGCTTTTCTGTTTACATGTATGGTCCATTTTAACTTAACTTTTGCATACAGTTGTAGGGTAAGGTTAGAAGGTAATGCACATCCCCCCTCATGGAGATATCCAGTTGTTATAACGCCATTTGTTGAAAATGCAATGCTTTCCTCCAGCACCGTGGTATTTTTGTTGAAAATCAATTTACTTATTACTTATTTTAGGTCTCTTCTGGATACTTTATTTTGTTCCTCTGGCCAAT